CTAGTAAAGACATCCCTGCTCAGTGCAGGGGGGTTTGGATTGGATGACCTCTGAAGGTCCCTTCCAACACAAACCATTCTATGATTCCATATTTTTTCAAAAGATTAAAACCCAGAATCACTTTGGCAGAAGCAGCACCCGCCAAGTCATGGTTTTGTGTCTCTCTCCTAGTTTTCTGTAGTGGTTTCTTCCAGGTGTGGGAAACAGCTCTGGCCTTCCCCTGCAGTACTGTTTCAGTTCCTGCACTGACAGACTTCAGTGGAGAATATGGGCAGGTTGAGGTAAACACCTTCTTTCCTCTCTCAAAACTTCCTTGTTTCAGGAAAGTCTCGTAGATCATTTCAACCTCAGTTATTCCAAGTGATCTGTTGATTCCCTCACGGATGTGCCGTGTACTACACCAAAAGCATGTCCCTCCTACCCTCGGCTGCCTTTCTGATTCTTGGAGATTTGAAATAAGTTGCATGGAGGCACCAGAATAAAAGCACATCTGTTTTAAGGGCTAAAATATTTGGACATGCTAATTGATGACTGTGTTGGGAAACAAAAAGAGCAGGGGATAGAGGCTGTGGGGAGAAGGTGGAAAGGTCTTTAATGTAGTTGAAGATACTGCAGCTATTGTGCAAGAAAAATGCCAAGGCTGTGAGCAGTGCGCTGTGCCTCTGCTTCTGCCTGTCCCTTGTACTGGCAGCAGCAAATGTCTAGGCAAAGCATTCCTCTCAAATGCAGGATCACTTAAAAATAACACAGCAATTCCTCCATCTCAAGTGTGTGGTGTATGTGATAATCACACCTATATAAGCAGTAACTAGCTTGTAGGGGTAGTATCTGTAGGAATTCGGCACCAGGAAGGCACAATAAAAGCTGTCCAGTGATGCCTTGTCTGCTTCCAGGTAAATAGCTCCAGCAGGTCAATTATTCTACAATATACAGAGAAGATTCCCCTGCACTGGGCACTGGTGAGGCTGCAGCTTGAGTGCTGGGTTCAGTGTTGGGCCCCTCACTCCAAGAAGGACATGGAGGTGCTGGAGCGTGTCCAGAGAAGGGCAGCGGAGCTGGGGAAGGGTCTGGAGCACAAGTGTGATGAGTTCCCGGCTGAGGGAACTGGGGTTGTTGAGCCTGGAGAAAAGGAGGCTGAGGGGAGACCTTCTTGCTCTCTACAACTACCTGAAAGGCACCTGTAGTGAGGTGGGTGTTGGTGTCTTCTCCCAAGTGACAGGACAAGAGGAAATGGCCTCAAGTTGCACCAGGGGAGGTTTAGATTGGATATGAGGAAACACTTCACCAAAAAGGTTGTCAAGCACTGGAACGGGCTGCCCAGGGCAGTGGTGGAGTCACCATCCCCGGAGGTATTTAAAAGACATGTAGATGTGGCGCTCAGGGACATGGTTTAGTGGTGGACTTGGCAGAGACGTTAAAAGTTGGAGTGGATGATCTTAAAGGTGTTTTCCAACCACAGTGATTCTATGATTCCAAGATGCACATGCTCACATTGTACTGAACATGAACTCGTCCGAACCTTTCCCATGTTACACTTCAGTTACCTTTGAGAATTAAGATCACTTGCTAAATTTTTCACTTACTGCCTACTTCACCCTTAAATAACAATGTGATTTTTAAGAACATTACTTCTACATGGACATCACAAAGCCTTTAGACTCATTCCCAGTTGAACCCGGGTGCTCAAGCAGTGACACAGCCTGTCTGCAAGGGCTGGGAAGAAACTTCTGTCTCTTAATGCACTGAGGTGAAGAAATGCAGTCCTGTATCTTCCCTTCAGGAAAACACAAGAGCCCTCCTAAATTTCCTTACGTCTCAAGTACAGTCTACTCAGCAACTCCATTTAATCGATTTTAACAGCTGCTGTCATGCAGCACACAGAGAGTTCTCCCAGGGCACTCACATACACGGGAGAGAGAAAACTTCAGTGCTTCACGTACTCAAGTTACTGATTTTCAGCAGTAGCTTGAGATTAATGGATTCAGGGTTCAAAGAGTACGAAAAGGTACTTGTTTTTACTTAAAGTTCTGACCATCATGGATCAAAGTGAGAGCTCCAAGCGTTCTTCTCATGTGTAGCGTGTGCCACTAGCACTCTACAGTGGTTTTGTTCACCCAAAATGATGTTACAACTGGGTGTACAACTCCAGTGCAAATTTTACACAAGCAGTTAGAGTTCTATGACTGGACGGAATGAAATACACTGAACACTAATGAGATACACAGCTGTACAGTGCAGCACGGACACTCATGCGTTACGTGCCTGATCTTCCCAACTGTAAATCATCTCTAAGATTTTGCATGTGCAGGGCAAATTTAACTACAAAGACTTCTGTAGTAATTAGCAGCTGATCTTTGCCTTCATATTTTTTTTGCCTTTAACAATCTTAAAGTGCAACGTTTTAGCTCCTTGTTTAAATCACTGTGTAGAACTCATGGAGCTTGGGTGTTCAGCTTACAATTTTTAGTGCTTCAGTAATTGGTGGAAGAGTATTAAGGGTGTTCTCGTCTGACTATGTAATTAGAATTTTACATTAGCTTTGTTAATGAAAAAAAGGAAGATGTAGGAAAGATTATATATATATATATCCCTGTCTTAAAAATCTTAACACATGGAGAATAAGCAGAGTATCATTAAGCAATGACAAAGAATAATGGATATGATTTATGCAGGGTATGCACATTAATTAATTGCCATGCAGACTGCTGCAATCACCCAGTCAGTCACAGGTTAAGGTAATTAAATACTGTTCTTGCTACTGGAAGAGGTTCCAGACCTTGGTCCCCGAAGATGTAACATTGCATTCTCACTAATTTAACAAGTTTAATTCATTAAAAAAATGAAGAATTAATCTAATTAAAATGTATTGGAGGAATCACAATTTATTTTCTTCTTAAATCCATTTAAACATCTGTGAAAATCAAATATGCTGAGGAAAAAAGAATATTATATGAGAACAAAGTTGCCTTTCTTCTACTTTGAAATTTAATTAAACAATGTGGTTGAAAAATCTTAAGTAGCTCAATACCTGCATGTAGATATTTAAATGAAAAAGGTCAGCAGGAGTCTTGCAAACCTGAGGACAACTAATACTGTTAAAGCTATTCTGTCTGGTCCTCTTTTCCTCTTGCATAAAAACCTGATATTCCCAGGGCCTGAACCTGTGAGCTGCTGACTATTTCAGCTCCTGATGCCCAGTAGTCTTTTATGGAATATATGTGGAGAAGCAATATAGTAAAGATCCAAATGCAATAGCTAGGAAAACTTGTAAGTAACCTGCACAAACCACTTTTTGTTTTGTTTTTTGACACTGTAAAGAAGGACAAAGCCTTTGTAATCCAATGGAGACTGGTATGAGCAGGAACTGCTGATGTTCATCACAGAGCCACGAAGATGATGAAGGGAGTGGAGCATCTCCCTTGTGAGGAAAGGCTGAGGGAGCTGGGGCTCTTTAGCTTGGAGAAGAGGAGACTGAGGGGAGACCTAATTAATGTTTATAAATATGTTAAGGGCGAATGTCATGAGCATGGAGCTAGGCTCTTCTCAGTGATGCCCAATGGTAGGACAAGGGGCAATGGGTGTGAGCTGGAACACAGGAGGTTCTGCTTAAACTTGAGAAGAAACTTCTTTACAGTGAGGGTGACAGAGCACTGGAACAGGCTGCCCAGGGAGGGTGTGGAGTCTCCTTCTCTGGAGACATTCAAGACCCGCCTGGACGCCTTCCTGTGTGATCTCATTTAGGTTCCTGCTCTGGCAGGGGGGTTGGACTGGATGATCTTTCGAGGTCCCTTCCAATCCCCAACATTCCATGATTCTGTGATTCTGTGATCCTTCAGGTTCAGTCTGTGACATAAGGACAGTTATGGACACAGCTATGAAACCAAATTCTGTCCAATATTATTTTTTCCTGGAGTGTTCAAAGACCAAACAGAAGAATGATGACACCACATGTAGCCAGCAAACAATCCCATAGCAATGGAGAGTAAGTAAATGCCCATCAGCATTTTTCTAACTAGTATAAAATCCTCTCAGGAGGAGGATGCCTGTGCACTCACTGGGTAATCATGACAACCTGTTTCAATCAATAGTCTGTAAAGTAAACAGTCTTTCCATTCCTATAGCAGGACTCACACCAGGTAGAGCATTCGCATTTCAACATTGGAAGTATCCAACCTTACTTTTAGGAAGTATTTTTTAAGGAACAGAACATCAAACTGTACTGTTGCTTAACACTAGTATTTATTTTGTCAGCAACAATGCTGCACAAAGTATTACCCACACAAATACATTATTTCTGCACCTACAACCATATTGTTCAAATTGTTTCTGATGAGTAAGTTGCCAGTGGTGTAGGCAGCAGGTAAAATGTACAAGTCCCCACACAGACATTTTTAATCATATCGCAACATTTACCAAGTGCCAGTGCCTGTGGTGCTGAGGTCAAGTGTGGTATGCTGCAAATTCAAACAGTGCATAAAGGCAACTGTTGCCTTTTATTTGGCATCAACAAAATTCTGTTTAAATTCTGGTTTAAGATTCTTCTAAATTCTGTTTCTCGGGCATGACAAAGACTGAAATGTAATGGATACAAATCATAATTTTCTCAGTTCTTTCTTCCTGGGAATCAACTTCTAATAACATGGCACTGATTATCAATCAGAGATTCTTATTCCACCTGCAAAAGATGACATCTTTCCTTTTTTATGAAAGCAGAGATTTCAGAATTGTTTAAAGACAACCTAAATCTTCAAATGCACAGAAATAACTGTGTATCCTCATTGCCAGTACCCTTGCTTTTGTTTTGGAAATAACAGTAGACTGTAATATACTTGTCAAATTTATTTTTCATCTGTATAATTGCACATGCAAATAGAAGTATCCCTAAGGATTCAGCATTATTTCTGAAGTTTGGTCTCTTTAATATCTTCATAATTATTCAAATTGTTTTCTGCTAAGACCCAAAAATTCCAGAGCATTGCCAGCCTTGAGTTTATCCTGTAAAAACAGATCACATATATATGTTTGTGTGTGCTTAACTCGTATTTTACTCAGATGCTTTTACTCGTGCTTTAAAATGAACTGCTGCAAAGAGACTAAAGAGCCTCCTCCAGTATTTGCAGAAATCAGTGTACTACACTGATTTTCCAGTGTTCCATCTCAGATCTAAAACCAGAGGCTTAAAAAGGAGGGGAAACCCCCCTAAATGTAAAGATCATACCTTCAGTTTATTGTCAAAATCTTCCATCGAATCAATCAACTTTCCAGGTTCCAGTTCCCCAAGTGGAAAAGGGTAATCTGTCCCCAAAATAACTTTGTCCTGGTAATAAAAAAAAACATGTTGTACATTTTGTAGTAACATTAAACAATATAGTTGCATGTGCTTTCTGGAATTTTAATAAACCACAGGAAATTACAGGTATGTATTGGACTGATTAATTACGAAAGTGAATATGAAGATAATCTTTGGATTCCAACTTTCATTAGGAAAAAAAAAACAAAGCTTGAAAAAACAATGACATGAGTTGACTGGTGAATTTAAATTTGAAAAAAGTACAGGTTGCTCGTTAGTCGTTTTTGTGGTGTGTCACTCAAGTTTGGTGTATTTTTGTTCTGATACACAGGAAGTTCAAAATACAAATCCCAGGCCCGTGGGAATGAGTGTACGTTGCTCAGGTGAATGGCAGTTTCCTACTCAGACTGATGTTCTGTACGGTGGTGCTGGTTTGAAATGTGATAGAAAGGTACCTGTTGTTCTCCTGCACTACTCGTGCTGCTTCTGCAAGTAGTTTCCCTAAAATGCGGTGATTAGTCTTGGTTAAGTGTTGCCATAATTTAATGGCCAGTAAAGGACACACAGAATTCTTCCTTCTGTTTCTTGACTTACTTTTGGTTCTTTTTCATGCTCACCGCATGCTCTGCACTGTTGTGTGCAGTTCAAAATGATCATGAGAGTTTTTGACACGTTTGTCTAAGAACCTCAGGAACTTCACCAAATTCAGACAAGATGCTTGCCTTTGCATTCCTGAATTTGAAATTCTTGACTACACACAGACACACACAAACTTAAAATTATATCTCTGTGAGAAGAACATGTACTAAAAAATACAAAGCAATCAAAATTATCTTTTGTGTCATCCTTTAAAAGCTGTAATAATTGCAATGTGATACTACTAAAAGCATGGTACAATGTAGAATTACTACAAACAATTAAAAAAAAAGTATTTTATTTAACTTAATTTAACTAGTATTCAGCTTCAGATAACAAACCCAAAATCTCATTTACAAAATTTCATATATGTTTGTAAATCTGTAATTTTTAAAAAATGACAATGTCTTTAACTGGGATTGGATATTAGCTCTGCATTTGAAACATGTATCTGAGAATATGAGTGACATCATATGATTTGTTTCTGAAAACAAGTCAGTGAAAAGAAAATTCAATAAAAATCTGTATGCATCATTTCTGTTATCAGAGATGAAAAGAAATAGGCAGATCCTCAAGAGGTCCACATTGTTATAGTTTCATTTTCACACTGGAATGATATTTCCCCATTTCATCTACCTTGGAGAATGCATACTGCCAACTCTCTTGATTTTATCAAAAGTCTGTTTTCCTTTAAGCTTCATCTCCTGGAGACATGAATATTTGAAAACCACAGTTTTCATTAAAAATATATGTTTTTAAATGTCTCATGAATTTGAAGTCAAGCTTATGAATTTGGGGGACTTGTTATAATATTTTAACTCAGTTACCGATACTGAAAGAGGGTGAAGAAAACGTGTTTCAGTTATTTTATGAAATAATTTGTTTTTCTTGTCAAATGCTTATTTTTTTTTTACCTCCGGTAGATGTCACCCGAGAGTCTCTGAAGGAACCAAACCAAAACCTTGTACGAAACCCAAACGGAAGATAACGCGTTCTCTTGCTCTGCCCTATATTGTTGTGTTATAATTTATTATAGAATTCTTGCCATACGATTAGAATAGGAGAATTTATACTCCTCTGTCTATTAAATCAAGTTCTGAGTGTAGATTAAACAAAATTTATTTGGTTGTGTGTACGTTAAGCAGCTAAATACATTATTTTCTGTATAATAATGTATTAAAATATATAATAGATATTTTCAATCTGATAGCAAGACATTTTCTTCACATATGAAAAACAAATGCATGCCATATACAAAAAATCCCCCAGCCAATAAACATACTAGCTTTATATGAGAAAATGGATTTCTCAGTAAAGGAGGAAACCCAGTATCTGCCCAGCTGTTTGTTAGTCAAGGTTAAGTAAGCCATGAAGGTTTGTACATTCTTGTTTAGATCTCCCATATACTAAGGCAAGAAGAAATCCCATTCCCTCGTTGGATTAATATACATATTTAAATTACAGTTTCCTTTTCCTCTAATTTAAAATGTTTCACAGCCAATCATGTGATCTATTCATTAGCAGTAAAATGAAGAGCTGCAAATTAATAAGAAAAATTTAGAAGCAGCATTATTTCTCTGCTACTAGTGATATTAGGTTATTCATTTACACTCTTCGGGCTTTAGTTTTGTATCCATCTATAAAACAGGGATTGCAATATCTGCCTTTAGCAACCAGCCTCAGATAAGTCCTTTGAAGTCTCTGCAGATAAATAATGCTCCTAGCATAAGGGATGTATTATTATATGATTCCAAAGGATATCAACAAAGTCAGTTTTCCCTAGAGGACATATAGTTTGATACCTTAATTAGTGCAGCTCTCTTTTTAGAAAGGTACGTGTGGCTAATGATTAACCGCAGTGGACCCTTCTACTCAGCAGAATTTTTATCACAGTAATAGGGACCTGAATCTTAAAATGAATCTCAAAGAGCATCAAGTAGGACTTCATCCTCTTGTATTAGCAGAAATCGTATTTGCCTTGAATCTCATCTTCTTTCCCACTCTCAGGATACATCTCAAAAAAAGGCCAGATTGCTATCGCCAGTTCAGCTCCAACTTCTGGACAGAAAATGTTTTACCTTTGGGTGATGGCTCTTGAGGAATCACCATGGGGAAGTTTTTGCAGAGATACACTGAATCATTCAGTCCCCTGTCAACCCAGTTCTTCACTTTTTATAGCCAGCATCATTAGAGATTTTGTGTTTATTTGATTCACTTCATGCTACCTCATCATGGGAGGAGTGAAGGAATGAGCAATTTTGCAGTCTTACAAAATTCTTTCTCAGAAATGTGCACTTCTGCTTCCTTTAACTGGGGTAGACTCCAATTAACCTGCACCCAACACTAAGAAAGGTTGACGTTAAATGTACGTGACTCATCACAGCTGTCACTGGATTTTAATATTCATAAGCTCAAAGCCAACACATTCCATTCGGATGCCAGGTAATGGCTGTTCCCTAAGGACCCGAAGCCATGTCTAAGCACATCTTTACACGCACTGATGCCCTTCCTGCACAGCTCTTAGCTATACTCCAGAGAGCTGTCCTATTTCAGACCTTCAGCTCATGAAGTTACAGTGTCATCTTCAAGACCCAATCACGTTGTTTTTAGCCCAGCTTTTATTCATCATATATTTGTTATTCTGCCAACACATGATTGCACTGAAAACAATGACACATTTGGCGTTTACTGAAGCCTTTGACTCACGGAAAAAGTATTAGATGAGAATATCAACTTTCATTGGAAAAAGAGAGAACTTTTTAAACTTCATGGTTATAAAGTAAAATTTGAAAATCTGATATGAATGGTTTTTTTTCAAGGATAAGATGCCTTAGGCTATAAAAAAGAGAAAGAAAATGTACTTTATTTTTCAAGTTCTCTTGAGTGTTAAAAGCATTTTCATTTTTGGGCTATGACTCATGGGGTTCCAGCTGATGTCACATTGCTTGAGCTCAGAATACTCAGGAGAATTAAAGAGGACATCAAGATCCCATGTAGTACACTGGTCAAACTTATTGCACTAAGAAACTTTATTTCAGAAGTCTGTTGACCAAAATAAACAAGACACAGAGCATCCTTGAGGTGCAAAGCTAACTTGTTACTCTAAAGCAGAACTGCGATGAGACTTGAATTTTATACTAGTTAAAACAGAAAAAGAGTTGCCAGCAATAAACATCCTGTTGTACTTTCTGTTCTGCTTTGCTCTTGACATCTACGGTTCAGCTTAAAACCAGAAAGAGCCCTGAAAAAAGAACCTGCGTGTCTCAGCCACGCTGAGTCACAGAGCTTCTCATTTACCAAGGTCTTTCTAACAATGGCAAAACATGTCTCCCCACATTTTAAAATGGAAAAAAAAGAAACAAATGGGTGATCTTGTCTCCTTGGCAATAAAAAAAAAGGAATCTGACCACCTAAAGATGGCAATTTAAAATTCAAGAGCTTGACTCATCCCCATGTACTATAACTGCTTGTAGAATGAGAATATACTTAGGATGAACGTGGTCTAGGTTTGGGAAGACTTCTCAGAAAAGGAGATGACTGAAGGCAAGTGCTGAACTGTTAGTCTATAAGCCTTTGGGTATCTTGTAAAATGGAAGTGCACATCACATCTGTTTTAAATTTAAAATTTTTAAATTTATTGTAAAAATGACTTAAAGCCACTTGCTTACTCTAAGCTACAGTTAGATTCAAAAGGTAAAGTGTAGTTAAAAGTCGTGGAATGTTGACCATGATACATTTAGTATTTAGATGTTGGTAACAGAAGTTAACAGATATCAATATTGGGCTGGAGCCCCAGAATTTCGTTACTAAGTCACCTGGTGCCTAAAACTTCATCCCTGACAGAGATCTCTCCAGCAGTGTTCACTACGAGTAGCACTGGCAAAAAAAAAAAAGCTGTAACTTGTCTATATGTACGGAAAGAATGTAACAAATGCCACCTGAGTTAATACTCATTGATGTTATAAGAATTTTCCAATACTAACAGCTTATTAGCAGATCTTTTGACAAGTAAACTGACCTGGGTTTTATCTTACTTGTTTCTAATGGAACTAAGCTGCATGGTAGTTTCTCTGCATATTTTATGGGGCTCCTGCCATAAATCAATTTTTGGTTCATGGTGGATTTAAGAAAGAGGTATTCTCTCTCCTCTCCTTAGAGCTGTAGTGTTACTGTATGTGTACATACATATACACTTTACAAAAACTTTCTATAGTCTTGTTTCGAGCTGCAGTTGTGCTGTCACATTGTAGAATTTTTCACGAATCTTCAAATGCAAAGTTTCCTAAAAGGCACAAGTACTGTAGGGGAGCTGCAGGCAGAAGTCCAGTCTCAAAGCTACAGATTTCCTGTGCAGCACAGACTGAAAACCCCTGGATTTCAAAGGACCTGAGCTCAGAGTACCAAGATAAAGAAAGCAGTGGTTCTGCATTATCATTTTTGGCTGTCCTAGGCAAGTAATTTCTGTACCAGTTCTCGTACAGATTTATTGCAGTAACCTGTTCAGACTGTTAGAGATGAAAATGGGAAATCAATCCTATTTTTTCTGTAGAGAGAAAGAAAATATCTGGCTTAGCTGTCTTTGTGAACTGTGGTCATACAAGAGGCCCTGATGACAACAGCAGCCCCATATGTGAGAAAGTACTACGTGAGCCTAGAAACTGATGTACAGCAAACAGGAAAACAGTTGTTGAGACAAGAAAGTCAATGTCAGAGCTTGCACTTCTGTTTCTGACATCTGGCAGGTATCTGCCTGCTAGCTTCAGGAATTCCATGAGTTACAGAGATCAGGACACAAATATAGGTCTCCTGTTGATTTGCAGTGATCCATTAGAAGTTGGCATGAGTGATGCCATCTTCAACCCCTTCCTGAGCATTTACTAATGAGAAAGAATTATTGGAATGGTTTTTTATTTTTCTGTCTCATGCTGTGCCTGATTTAAACAGGTTGCTAAACTACAAGGATTTCTTTACTCCCTACTCCAACAAAATATTTTTGCACGGCCATGATGTTTTATGTGCTCTCCAGGACTCCCACAGAAGCTTTCTTTATTATTGACATTGTTCTACCTATAACTTCCCAAGTGGAAATACAATTTGATTTCTCCAAGTACCCACCTGAATTTGAAAACTAAGCCATTTGAAAACAAGGCTCCAACTGAAGCAGTCCCTGCTTGCAGCCCCATCCTGAACAACCTTACACAAGGAGCTAGCCTCACTGACCTAAGGTTCATAGTGCATAATTTCCTGGATTAAAACCACCATTTCAGAAACTCCATAGAGTAGAAACATTATCTCCATGGCAGAAGCATGTCAGTTCTGATAGCTCAGGTTCTGATTTTACTGGGTGAATATGCTGTCGTGTTCCTGCTTTCTTCTTCTCTTCTTTTGATATTTCATAGAGAATTAAATAAAGAATGACTCACCTGCTTTGCAAGCATTAAAACTCACCTCTCCGATTACACTTGTTAGCAGCCTTAGTGCACCACGATCATGGACAAGAGAGTCTGTGTAAAATGAACCAAGGTATTTTCTTGGATCCACCTTATTATCCACCGCGCACAAATCAGGGCGCATGTTGAATCCGTGGGAGATTCGCCCCACTGTGTATGGAAAAGCTCCACCTGTCAGAAGACATGTTTAGTAACAGAAGCTGAAAATATGCAGGAGAAAAAAACCCCACATTATCAACAAGGATCCATAAGTTTTACAGTCAGCTATTTAGAAAGGAAGTGCTCTGCACTAGCAAGTTTTTATTCCTTCCCTTTCATTAGCTTTCTCTGTTTTCTCCCCTTCTTCACTACTGTGACACCTAAATTCCTCTTGCTGCTGCCTTGTCCCTTTCCCCAAACCATCTCCTGTCTCCTTTTCCTCCTCGTTTCCTTTAAAGGCTATTGTAACAGTTCAAACACGGGCTGACACAGGCTAGAGAGTGTTCATATGGGCAGCTGATCTGGCAGATACCTTCTTTGGGCTAATAGTACTGAGGTGGTGGCAGGCTTAAGTGGTAACCCTATTAGCTGGCACACCAAAAATGCAATTGTACCATGCTCAGCTATAAAGCAGCTGTTTCACATGGTATATTACTTACCTCCATGTGCAAAGCAAACTTTCAGCTTAGGAAATTTTTCAAAAATTCCTCCCATAATCATGGAGCAAATGGCTATGGTTGTTTCTGCTGGCATGCCTAGGGAAAAATAAAAAAGCTTTATTGCATGAGAGTTTCATTTTTTATTTTCCTGTTTGAATTTTAAATGTTACCTTCATTTTCTTCAATTAGCCTTGAGACTGCTGAAAAAGTAACAGTTACAGAGCAGTTGCCAAAGGTTACACATTATTTCTAATTATTAATTAACTGAAATGAAGACACAGGATTGGAAGCTAAGATCTGAATTCCAAGCCCAGTTTTATCCTACACCACTAGGACAGCCGACAAGCAGGCTAGTTAAGTCCTGGACTGCACAATACAGGCTTGATTCTCCAGTTATCCTAGCTCAAAGACAAGTCTGGAACACGCCAGGTTCTCTTCTCACCTGTGCCTCTTGGTTTCATGTGGAAAGTGGAGCAGGTATGTTGATGTATATTTAAACAGAGATGTCAGGTTTAGTTATGACATGGTGCCAGTTCCTACAGTTTAGAAATAACCTATCTCTCTGCTGCTGGATAACTTGGACGCCCAGTGCTAGAAACATAGCATCAAATTAGGTTCCTACATCAGGCCTCAGTTTCTTAGCCTTATTAGGCTTAGTAGGAAAATATTTTAATTATACGTTGTTAAGCAAAAGCAATAATTTTAGTCTCTTTTAAAATCTGTGTTGTTGAGCCTGCTCTGATTGAGACTAATTGATACTGTTTTAAAATAATGCACTGATGACTGGGCCACTAAGGTTTTCCAGTGTATATTGCAGAACATACATGTATATTGTGTATATTTTTCAGAACAGCTCTACTGGAGGCAGTGCAAAACCATGCAAAACAAAACAATGCAGAACAGAATAAGAGAGGGAGGAATCAGGCCTAAACATTTCTAAGTAGCAGTATAATCTGCCTCCTGTTATTCAATGTTGTTCTGACTTACGTAGCAGATGGGAAAAAAACCAGAAACTAGATAATTCCCTACATCTACGGGGAGCTTTTCAAGTACATGTTGTTTCAGCTATAGTTGATGTGAACTTAGATTTACTTCCTCTCTGGTCAAGCTATTTTTAGGAAATGATCCAAGAAATTCTAGGAAGTAATGTTTGGTTTTGCCGTCTCCTTCATTTACTCATGTTATTTTTGAGGACTTCATTTCAGAGACAATTCACTTTTCCCTGGTCATCTGCTCTTTGTATTTAGGGCAAAATAGAATACTAGATTCTGTTGCTAGTCTGAATAATTTTAATTCTAGGTAGAATTAAAAAGAATTTAAAAGTTAGACAAAATAAACAAGCTTAAAAACAAATTACTGCTAAATTTACACAACAGATTTAATCGTAGTAATGGATTTTAAAAGACTGATAGAAAAATAATGTAGTTTTTCTCTGTACTAGTACCTTTGCAACAGTCTGGGCATAATCCAGTGACAGTTCATAGATGTAGATTAAACAAGGTAAATATAGACTCACCTATTAGCCAGGGAAACCAATATTTGGACATCCTTCCATCTATCTGCATGTCCCAGGGATGCACAAAGAGACAGCAATTTAATTTTTCAGCAGCCTGCAGCACAAAGAAAATATCTCTATCTTGACTAATCATACCAAAATGCATCTTAGTTCTTAGCCGTGCTTTAAAGATTACCTGCAAAACTGTACTGAGCATTTCAGATCTTAGCCCAGAAGTAAGAACTATAAGCAATACTTGGTTATATTTACTCCTATGGGCCATATCCTGAAGTCCTCACTCAGTTTCAGAGTTCTTTTTGAGACTACAGGATTGGAAACACTGTTGATAATATCTTTTTAGTAAACTGAGTGTTCCTCAGACTAACGTTGTACAAAAATGCGTTTTTAGCTTCACAGGAATATGAATCCTTACAGGATGCTGATTCTGACTGAGTAATTTAACTATGTGCTTCAATTTAAGTGTATAGTAATCAGAGTCATTCATATGCTTAACCAGGATTTAACAGCTTCATTTTGTCAGATGTATTTCTGGACCTCCTCTTGTTGCTAAGGAGATTATCACACATTTGAAAATTTTGGGTTTATTTACCCATACATGCATAAATAAAGCTGCAACTTTTGGACTGTACGGAAGAACTGCTGTCTACATTTGTAAACTAAAAATAGCAATTCAATAACTAGCTTGGCAGATTCATGGAGTTCATTATCAAATATGGCTTAATGTCACAATCTTTATTATCCAGGGATGTTTCTAAAACGATAGAGGTTACTTTCTACATGTGTTAAACATAGGCTGAAGAATGTACAGTATAACAGAGGGACCCCAGTATGAGAGGGATCCCAGTATAAGAAAGAAATGGAACTACTGGAGAGAGTCCAAAGATGATGAAGGCACTGGGGAATTGTCCTGGGCATCTGGCTCTAGGTGGTCCAACTTGATCAGGGGAGTTGGACCAGATGACCTCCAGAGGTCCCTTCTAACCTCAGCCATGCTATGATTCTGCAAATGCATGCATCTCCAAGGGCAGAAGTTGATAACTGACTGTGTATGACCATAAAACCCAATATTCCAGATGCTGCACTAACAGGATTCTTGAATAAATTGAGCATTCTGAAAAATAACCTCTCTGGATCAATTTCAAACTCACAGCTATAACAACCTGTGAAACAGATACAGAGTGTACATTGATTAAACCCCATAATTTAGACAAATGACCACCCTCATCTGGACCTCAGGCTGTTTAAGAAATGCAATCTATAAATTATTTTATAATCAATACATTCAGTTTGGAACTTCTGGTCCCATTTGCATAATTCTGTATGGTGCTTTGGCTGTACAGGTATCTCTGAAAATCTCAGGAAGTTTTCTCAATTATCTCAACAGGATTGGATACAGTAACTTGAACTCAAAAGCAAACAGTGCAGAAATGCTTTATTTGATACTGCACTTAGACTCACAAACCAAGAAGGCAACTCTATGATGAGAATTTGTATCATAAAAAGATTTTATTATTCATTATTACAAAGTATGTTTCAGAACGTTTTATATTGTATTATTGTCATATCCTATGAATTATCATCTATAATTTAAGATGAATCTCTCTGATCACTAAGCAGATTAGAAGGCTCAATTGTTTTAATGTATCTATAAATTCAGTTGATAACTGAAAATGTCCCAAGATATTTTTAGGCAGAGTTCCATGTCACAGAATTCCCCAAAATAAGGAAAGAAACATTTACTCACAGCATAAATCTCATACAGTTCTGGTGCATTCAGGTCCCATTCATTAACATGAGATCCTATTTGTACTCCAGGAAATCCCAGTTCTTTCACGCAGCGATGCATTTCCTTCACAGCCAGGTCTGGAGCTTGCAAAGGTAACGTACCCAAGCCGATAAACCTCTTGGGGTACTTTTTTACTGTAGCAGCTAAGTCATTATTTAATATCTGGGCTAGATCTAAAGTATCTTGAGGTTTGGCCTGGTGAGATATTAAGCAGAATAGTACATTAAAATATAGTTCTCAAATGTTATCACCTTTGGAAGATACTGGATAAATGTCACTACAAACAATTCAGAGATAGGGTTTGAACCTAAAATTTACTTTGCTGTTCTGAATGGCTGGAAACCAGTGGGGCTAAACTCAGCCTTGCTTTAAAACCTCTGGGTGCAGTTCTGCTTCCTATCTTGAATATTTTATCATCTGCTGTTCCCTTTACTGCTCAGAATGAATGTAATAAAGCCCAACTTGCTGATGCACTTAAGTATCTGGTCTTTTGTGTAAACCAGTCCTCTGTTTTTGTTTATCCCAATGTAAAAACCACAGCATATAATATTTAAACATAGCAGTGAATATTTACTCTCCTATTATGGAGCTGAAGAGATAAAAATAAGAAATGTGAGATGCTGGAGCATGTGGGAATTCCACAGAGTAAACCTGAGCAAATCTCTCTAACATTTAGAAGGAGGTAACAGTCATAATTCCAACAAGGAAACTGCAATATTCATACAATTAGTTTCCCGTTTTTCCCCCTAATATATATTTAATGGAAAATAGTCCCATAAATACTGGAATAACATTTTAAAGATACATCACCCAACAAGAAATTCTGAAGATCAGTGGTATTACTTATACGTGGGCTTAACACAATGATTTTTAATGTAGCATATCTGTTTAGATACAACTCAACATAGCTAAATAGTCAAATTGAGAATATATTTAGAAGAGCATTTTGCTATGATTTATCTTCTCAGACTGTTTTTATTTCTTTGATGCATTCAAGATCACCATGCAGGGAACATATTAGTTTAAATTTGCTACTGAATTTTAAGATTCAAAGCATTCTAGGTGAATGAGTCCCATGCCACATTTAAAAGAAAGTGGGACAAGACCACAAATATATCTTTTACTTCTTCACTTCATGAGAAAATACTGATTGATGCCTGCCTTTCAGGGAGTCTGTACATAAATGTCCACCTGCTAACCATGGGTTCATGCTGGGTGAATTTTCTCTCCCTGTTTCCAGCTACCCCTGTAAGTCCCCAGAAGAAATTCTGTTGTTTCATTCTTTCTTACTGGGTGTACTGCAGAGTGGAGCTTTGCCAGGACACCCTGCTGGCTCTTCTGATTCCTGGACTATTTTTTTTGTCTTTTGTTTTTCACAGCAGAACAGTTCCCCATTTACTTCAGTGCTCTAGTGACTACTTCAATCACATAATTTATAGAAGGATGCATTTATTTTTTTAAATTTTGTAACATATGAATTACAAAATATGTTAGTAGGAACCTACCCAGTAGCTGAACATTACAGGGACGGTGGAAAGGACTTGGGCTGTGACTCCTGAGTAAGAAAAAACAGTTATTAATGTTTCCCCTTTTTTTTTGTAAAATGTTAACATTAAGAAAGCATTTTGATTTGAAAGGTAGAAGGTAAAAGCTATAATAGTAATAAAGACTGATATAACAATGACGTGGTTAGAATAATTTTTTTTGCTAATTGAGGATCATGGTAATAAATCTTGTAGTGTACCAGTTTATTAGGATTGGAATATTTTTGCTAAGTAGAAAGAAAAATAACGCTTTCATACTCGTACTAGATTATTTTGTGAAACTAAGTATTTTGATTTTGGAAGTATTTGGTATGCATGTGTACAATTAATTAAAATAGTAATTTAATGTTACTCTCACATAAATGAACGTGATGTCAAACCAAGAGAATACAGTTTATATATATAAACAGAATATTCTGTATATATCTTTATACAGAATATCTTAAGTTTACTTTGAGGTCACGTTCATCATATATATTTAATAAATAAATATGTAAATTAACTCAAAGATAAACAATGTTATGTTAGCAATGGTTGTTAAACTATGTGTTCCCCAAAGCTACATTGTGTAAGGTTTCATCCATCCTGTGTTTGGACGACAGAGGTTGTAAGTAAATTCTGTCTGTTTCTAGAAATAACTTTGATGTTAGCAATAAAGAGAATTAAGTCTATGTTGTTTGGTTTCTGTTCAAACGCAACTATATACCATTTTGTGTGTGGCAGGTTACAGGAATCAACACAACAAACCTAGTCGATTAAAAACAGAAGAAACAATAAACAATAATTGGGATTTCACTAAATAATTAAATGCAAAACTATTTTCTTTTAGATTTTAGGTCTGATCATAATATTTATGTACATATTTTGTCATGCTTTAAAAAATTTAACTTGCTAGTAATGAAACTAGTAATGCAAAAGATAGCAGAAAAAAACCTTAGATAATTTCTTATAAGACAATGACCTTGCCTAAGCACTCAAATGTTTAACAGGTTTGTATACGAAATAGGCTTAGGACATATGATTATGAGAACTAATTTAATCTCTTTGGTACGTTGGCTACTATTTCTTATTACTGGCAAGGTTTCTTGGGCATTGCACAAAGCCTTTTAGCAACCAAGCTGTAAATTCTTTCTCTGTCCAAGTTAATAGTTTTCTTCATAGTAGCTGGTATGGAGTTATGCTTTGGATTTGTGCTGAAAGCAGTGTTGTTCTTTTTGTTATTGCCGAGCAGCGCTTGCACAAAGTCAAGGCCTTTTCTGCTTCTCATAGCACCCCACCAGCGAGCTAGGGGTGCACAAAAAGCTGGGAGGGGACACAGCTGGGACAGCTGACCCCGAGTGACCAAAGGGACATTCCAGACCATCTGACATCATGCTCAGCATATAAAACTGGGAGAAGAAGGAGGAGGTGGGGGATGTTCGGAGTTACAGTGTTTTATCTTCCCAAGCTGCCGTTACATGTGATGGAGCCCTGCTTTCCTGGAGATGGCTGAACATCTACCTGCTGATGGGAAGTAGTTAATGAATTCCTTGTTTTGCTTTGCTTGCGTGGCTTTTGCTTTATCTATTAAACTGTCTTTATCTCAACCCAGGAGTTTTCTTACTTTTACGATTCTCTCCCCCAATCCACCTGAGAGGGGAGTGAGCGAGTGGCTGCATGGGGCTTATTTGCCAGTTGAGGCTAAACAACAACATACTTTACAGTGACTGATGCTAGTTTTGTTCATCTGGGAGACTCTTTGCATCTTTCTTCCAAAATTATGCAGTATTTGGAGGTTAAATTTTTGGGTGTAATCTATCTCAGCCTGTGTTACAGAAAATGATCTTTGAACTAAGTAGCTACAGCTTTGTAAACCGAAAACCAGTAAAAGTGGCCCATGGTCTTTATCACTGAAAGACCAGTAAGAATGAAAAAACACTAATACCTTTTTTTTTTTTTACACGTAATTGGCTGATGCCTGTATTTCTTGGGTGCTGTAATAAAAGGGGACATTTTTATGGCACAAGTCACCAGATGGTGCTGTAACACACAGTTTTAGATTTTTATTTTTTATTTTTTATTTTTATTTTATTTAACCAAGTGAGCACTGTTTAGTTTGTGAAATAGTGTGGCGTTGGCCTTATGATTCATTTTCTTTTCTGAAGAGCTGTTGCAAAAATTTGAAAAAATTGCTTCTGTGTTTTCCTTTTGTCTACAGCAAACAAATGGGGCAGAATTGTTTTGTAGAAACTTGCCATTAGTGTTCAGGGAAATATCTGAGAGGGAAAGATACCCAAAGGCTATTTATGATCCACACTGTAGTTGAATGATGTGGAAATCCCTGAAATCCCTGAGCTAACTCAGGGAATGATTACAGTCTAGTCAAGGCAGCATATTCCAGGGAGGTTGCAAAGACATTCTAGGATTCTCATTAAATGTCTAATGGTTGGAGTTTGAAATACTGCTTCTCGAGGGTGAAAATGAGGTAGCTGAAAATTATTTAAGTTGTGCTTACATAAATCACTTGCCAGCCCTTGAGTTCCTAAATTTTCCTATGTTATGTGTCGCAGTAAATCTCCTTAAGGAGAATGACCCAAAGTATCTCCTAACATACTAACCCATGAGAAGGAAACAATAATCATCAAGATGCTACTTATAAAATATCCACTTTTTGAAGTAATTCAGGTATTTATTCCTTACGAAAAGCTGGAGAAATATTCAAGTTGTGTCTACTGAGAAACTGATGTAGAGAATTATTCAGGCCTCAATCTAAGAAAAAATCATCTTTAGTAACATAACATTTCTCTCACAAAATTAATTTGGAATTACAGTGTTAATAAGAACTAACAAAAATAATTGTTCAGACTAAAAGTTCTTTCTCCCATTCTCAGTCTCCCATCTTACAAACCTTATTTAGTGGCATGTAAGTAACTTGATGGAAAATAAAGTTGCAAATTTGGCATCTGGTTTAAGTTTCTTTCTAAGTCAGGAAAACTCTTTTCTGTGAAAGTAACTGTACCAGTTCTCTAGGCTCAGAAAAAATACAGAACCAAGTTGCAACATCTAAGCAGAAAAAAATACTAGAAAAGGAAACAACATACAAAAAATCCTATGAGTAAACAGAATCTTTTTAACATTTGAAACAAAAAGTTATGGGACTGTCACAGTTGAGTTTGAGTATAAAGCATATCAGTTTTCACTGACTTTCAACATATTTAAACTAATGAATCAGTTTTCTAAACATTTTGATCTTTATATTGTTATTGAGCACCCTCAGATGCACTAACAGAGAAGTTGCTGTTATTCCAAATGAGACACAATGATTTTAATTCCTTTATGGAGGTACCTGATAGGTCCATTTCTTTAATCCGTACTTCTGGGTCCCAGCAGTTCTCTTGAATAACTCTAAAAACCTTTCCATCCTTAATCATCTTTGCCTGTCCCTGTGAAATGACATTTTCATATATTATGAATGTGACAAAGTAGTACATGCTAATTTATAGTCGCTTGAGTATATTGTGCTCCCTACAGAAATTCAGTGACAAAATTTTGTTCTTCTATTTTCAGTCAGTCGGTATTTTTACACAGAGACTATTATAAAATACTAATTAATAAATCAGTCATTTACAGTTCAGATGACATGGATTAATTCTTCATAACAAAAATATTCCCTTTTTCTTGCAATGTGTGTCACTCAACATTCATCTGGAAAAGATATCAGGTACCTTAATCCAAGTTTATCCTCAAACCAAATTTTGACCTCAAAACAATGCTCTAATTAAATCTGTGCTAAATTTTCCCCTTGGTTATATGTGTGTTCTTTTAAAGTCAGTAGCATCACAATGATTCCAGTAACTACAGAAATAATTGTGCAACTCTGTTAATTTCAGTCCAGTTGTTTCATATCACCAGCGATCCTGAGACAAAAGCAGACCTATTATGTTGTTTCCGATTACATTTTTTTCCTTGGGAAAAAAAGAATTATTGAAGAATATGTATTTGGGGAAAAAAAAAACCCTAAACAAAATCTAAATGCAGTATAAAACCATTACCTGAATTAGTGTAATACCTTCCCCATCTGCCACCAATTCCCAAACTTACAAAATTCAAAATATTACTAAGGTCATGAAATTTAATACTGTTCCTTTAACTACAAATATGGAAATTTCCTTTGTAAATTTAATTTTGGGGTGATTTGTCAATTGTCCAAAGAGGCTGGATAGGCACAGTGTTGTCACATTAAGCAAAGTAAATTGTCTGTTATGGTTGTACATATCCACATGCTTCTATGGACTTGTAAAGACAGACAAAACAGTCTTTCTGTTGGCTTACGCTTGCACAAATTGATGAGATAAAACTCACTAATACTTGTAAGGCCCGAGTATTTCTTGGTTACTTGAAGTTACTGTAGGGATCAATGGAAATAGGTGAAAGTCAGAAGATCCACATGACCCTGTGTATTTGGGATGGGTAAGTACAGCAGATATATGGGACAGAGAACACACTGCATCTGCAGTTGAAAATTGAAAACCATATGAGAAAACACAGCAGCTATTCCTTCACCATCCCAGTAAATGGCAGATAAAGTGCAGGGCAGTCTTCTGACCCTTCTGGAAAAGGAATTCTCTCTCTCCAAAGGCCACTTTATTTTTCCCCACAAAATTTGTTTATTTAGGATCCTGTCTATTTTTCTAAATAAAAACCCGGTTAAATCAGAATATTCCCTAATAGTATTCTAAAACAGAAATAACAAACTAAATTTCACTACTTGTCACAGAGCTGGGTTTCCATCCCCTCCTTCTGAGAAGTCAGACTGTTCCTTACCTTGAATTTGTTATTAACTTCATACATCATTCACAAATATACTGCCCTAATGAATATTTTAAAGCTCTCTTCAACAATTCTGACTGTGCTGCCTTAGCAAACTGTCAAGTTACTTGTTAGCTGCATCACAGGTTGTGAAAATTACTTGAAATATTACAGTCAGTAATAACAACTAACATAGTCCTGATCCTCTGGTAGAATACTTCAGGTTCTTGTAAAATTGATTTTCCAACCTGACAGAAATTTTTACTCTAGCCATACACTGCAATACATTAAAAAAATACCAGTGCATTGCTGCAGACTGCCTAATAAACACCAAAATATTTGGGGTGTGAGTAGAGAAAAAGATAGAGTAGAAATGAGCGTTGTATCACATACAAATAGATCATGTGGCCTTTACTGGATTACCACTGGGAGTATTTCTGTGAACACAGGTGACTTTTAATTCCTTCCTCAGACGTAGCTAAGGCATAGCAGCTGACCTGCTCATGTATATTTTCTTCTGCTAATACTGAGAACAATGTTAGATAGGTTGTCATGTTACTAGCACCTTTGACAGTGCTCATACCTAAATGCTGAGATAAATTCATGTTCTCTGAATGCTGCAAAAGAGTTTGCAATATGGGAAAGGTTTCTAATAAGCCATGTGAGGTTCTTATTGAAGAATTAGTTGAACACTTTGCTATTTTCATTTGCATTAACCGATTCTTCATGAGCACGCTACAGGTCAAGGCTAAACTCACATCATTGTATGTTGGCAACGACAAACTTGATTATGCAGGAAAGCAAAACATGATCATTTGACCAGATTCATGCTCGTGTATGTAAGGATAGAAAGATCTGGTTCAGCGACACTGCGACTGGAAAATGAGTCATATTGCTCTAGTCTCTAGACACTGACACTGATCTGCACCTGATATTTTTAAAATGAGAAATTACTCAGACCCCTCAAATGGAAAACAATTTGCAGAGTTTTTTGCAGTAGCAAGAACGAAACAAGGATAAGGAAAAAAATTTTCAGGTTCTGAAGCAATGGATGCCGTGGTGAAAATCTCATAAAATCTCATAGCTATGCTATGTTATGCTATTTCTATTCCATTCCATCCTAAACATTATCTGATATTTAAGGATTTAATTAATTTATGTGGAAATTAAGAGAGGGAGATTTAAGAATTAAGTCCAGCAGGCTGGTTTGGTTCAGCAAGCTACATTTAAAATTATCCCATCACTAAACTACTCAGTCTCAAACTGCACTTCCTTAAAAATGCATGTAATTATTTTCTTCCGGTTTGACCCTGATGCTTTTTCACAGAATGATATAAAAAACTTTTATTTTTTTTTAATCTTGAGAGTTAACTTCCCCAGCTCCAAATAGCTGAACAGGATTTTATTTTGCCATGCACTTTTTTCATAAAACATTTTCAAACAGAAGTAGGGTAGACAGAATTCTCTGCAGAGTGTATAAGGCTCTTATTGACTTGCCACAGAGTTCCTTTGCCAACTATTTTTAGCACGGAATTTTAGCATCAGACCTGTAACAAACAGCTAAGCTGCTAAAAATGTCTCCAACAATTCTCCCCTTCCTGCCCCTACCACGTATCTCAGAAGCCATGTCATCCACACTTCGGTTCAGTAGGTGGCTTGTTCTCTCCTTCTATGCCTGCTTACACTCAGATGTGAAATTTCAGCATAATACTTGCTTGCTCCTCATTCTCAGTCCCAACCTTCATATTCCGTGTTCCTTTTTCATAAAGGGTTGTTAGACATTTGACAGCATAGCCTTGCATGTTACAGAATGACAACAGTGCGTATATTATTAGGTTGCAATAAATAGACCCTGTGTTGTATCCATTTGATCATTTTTTTTCAGTTACTATAAGCATATATGCAATCATAAAGAAGTATGATTTTGCAAAGTGACAAGGGGGTGAGGGAATGTCTAGTTCCACTGAAATTAACAGGAACTACCTGGAAGATGCAAGTCTAGCTTCTCTAAAGACAATAAAAGTTGAATCTCTACAGAGAAGGAATGAATTAGCCAAGTAACAAAAAAAGACCATGAAGATTGGTTACTATTTTTTTTTTCCTAAGGTTACTCCAAATAGGCAGAGGCACTGTCACTCTGCCAAGTACTAAATCTTTCCATCACATATCCCTCTAGTTTTCAGTATAGAATTCCTATACTAAATTCCTATCTCTCTTTTAGGTTCTTGTGCCCTTCCTTTAAAAAAAAGCACTAATACTGTTAATTTTTTAATACTCTTATCAAAAGATAAATCGTGACATTTTGATCTTGCTTTTAGAAGTTTTACATTGTTGTGTCACTGTGAATGTCACTGAAATTACTGATGATTTGCTCTATTGTGCGTGAGATCGGAATCAAGCCTTTAAGAAACCAGTTCTGTCCCCATCAGAGTCAATACATGTATTCTGCTAACCTCAGTACCAGCAGGATGCAGAATGCAGATGAACTGTTAGCACAGACTCGTGGCATCTGGAGACATGTTGCAGTTGCACTAATGCAGCTCAGAAGTGCCTTTGTAAAGTTAATAGAGTGCACAGTGATAAAAAGGAGAAGTAAAATCAGACCCAGTCTGCCTTTTACTTGACAATAAACCTCAAGCTCTTTTCTACATAATAGTCCCCAAACCTATGGATTGTCCTTATTGTTGTGCTACTTGTTCTCCTTGTCACAAAGTTACAGAACCCTTTCACTCAGATGTGAAAATTTCTTCTTTTAATAGAAGTTCTTTAAGTTTTATTAAAATACCAGTTCCTTTTGGTTTTGCTTCTCATACAGATGACTGCATATAACTAAAAAAATTTCTACACATAATCTGCTTGAGGTTGACCTGTCTTATTGAAAATAATTCCTTAGAGCTCTCCATTCCAAGTGTTAAAATGAAGTGATGATGAAAAATGGATACTGGCTCATACAAGAGAATGTGAATTTCACCTCTCAAGCAAACAGTTCTACTGAGGTATATTAGGACGTGGAGTGGTATTACTTCATAGAAGATAGACCTCTAGAGAAACCTATATCAAAGACAGAGCCGCTCTTATTGCCACTTTGCTTTTTAACAGATTTACTGTGAGTTTGTACTCCTGATGGGACCACAGTTTCAGCTTAGAGCACTAAACGGCCCAAACCTTGCAGTGATGATCCAGCTGTACCCAGCCACCATATCCGTATCTCTGTGAAAGAAAGAAGAAAAAAGCCACCACTAGTTAGAACTCTGTAATAAAAATCTCAGTTCTTACAATCCAGCAGTACCTTATTCAAGAGAAACACTTATGCATATGCTCAGCTTCGAGCCCATGAGTAGCCCCACTGCTTTCAGAAGAAGTGCTGAAGTTGAACTGGACTGGATCAATGGTGTTTGTAGATCCAAACTTTTAGCTCCCAGTTCAACAACATTTTTAAGTAAGTCCTACAACTGATTTCAAAGTGCTTAAAGATGCTTATTAGGTTGAATTTTAACTGAAATGATTTTAACACAGAAAAAATTAAATCAAGTATTTGCCAATATGAAAACTGAGCTGACAATTTTCCAGTCTGTGATCAGTTAATCATTAGCACAACCGTGTATCGATTCCACTTTCCAGCTTCCATGATTCAGCTGCAGGACTGAAGGTCAGTCGCTTGTCTATTAATATTTAAACAGCTAAGAGAAGCTAAAAAGGAGAAGCTTAGATGCTCATTGATTCTGTTCCAGAGAGATTCAAAATAGTTTACACAAAAAAATCCCCAAACCTACAAAAGATGCTGATTTCCTTTTATTTTCATAAATTATCAGATTAGAAATAAATGAAATCTTGAAATATCATAAAAGATTGAAAACAATGCTCAGAATTCCCATTTTTCTGTAAATAAACATTTCAGAGGAAACAGCAGGCATTTCTTTCACTGAGGTGTAAGCAATTTGAATACAGTCCTGAATTTCCTGTGATGACAAATCATCACTTAATGCCACTGTGAGCTCTCCTCAAGTAGGCATGCACAGCCAAGCCTCCTGACTTCAGCCCATCGGAGATGCTAATGACTGAGGCTATGTCTGTTTTCTTTAGCTATGTTTAGCTATGTAACCATGTATATTTAATTTAAATTTATAGGTTTTTATAAATATAGTATTTAAATTTATGGAAAATTTTGTGATTGACACCTAATGAGAACACGACATTTTCACTAGCTTCATGCTAATTGCAATCGTAAGCTGTGTAGAAAATCAGTACCTTAAAGGTGCTCAAGGAGCATTTTGGCTACAGAGAAACTCACTGGTCTGTTTTTGTACTTATTTTCTTCTTTCTTCCCCCCAGTCACTAGTTGGATGTATTGACAGTCCTTATTTCATTTATTTCTATGAATTTTGATACTTATTATGGGTTCTTAAGCTCTAAAGTACCTTGACAATAGAATTTCCTAGTCATAGGTTCAAGGTTCAGTATTTATAAGGCTAGAAAACAAGAAATAAAAGTTTAGCACTATGTGTGCATGTTAGGATTGCCTCACTGGTTATCCATGCATGAGATGTAGAGAACTATGTTAACAGCTTGAATTTTCAGAGGACTCTAGGGAATTCTGAGACTTGTTTTCTATTCTGGGCCCATTAATAAACCATTGAATATCTCAATATTTAGAACAGAGGGGAAAAAAAAACCTAGCAGGTGGAAATTAACTTCTAAGAATTTGGTATTTGCCTGTTTATGAGTGTTTAAATAAATGCAACACAGGCCTACAGGGTCTAACAGTGGTGAATCCAGCCTTGATGTACATCTGTGAACATCAAGGGATTCTTGGGGATTCTTGAGGTGATTTTATCTCAGTAAATTTATTGCCCTTTTAAAGTATATACACACACACACACAAAAAATCTTTTAAAATAAGGTAAAATCAGAGTGAAGGAATTTTATAGGTGTTTTTATAGGGATATTGCACAAATGAGGACAACAAAATCTGGAATAAGCAAGAGTAACCTGTCTGTGTAATCTGGATAGTTAAACTCCTATCCATTTAAAACAGACATAATCGTTCTAAAAAATATCTGTCATCTCACCTACATTACCCAGTGTATGTGTGTTTTTCACTGAGGAGCTCTTATAATTACAAATATAAAGTTCAAAATGACATTTAAAATTAGCTTCTTAGGTAAACAAGGAAACAAACATTCCTTTCCAGGAGGTTTTATGGGTAACAATGTTATTTTTCACTACTAATGAAGAAATAATTCTTTGTATGTTCTTAATGCCAGCTTTTCTCCTGACTTTTTTCTAATATGCTGTTTATATTTTCCAGCTTCTCTCTGGCTCATACTGAATCGATACTGGACTGCTGTGTTTAAAATCAGAGAAACACAGAGCTAACACAGATGAAACAGTTACCTGAGAATTTGCCATCATCAACATCAAAATTAAGTGAAAGAAATGTCCAGTGTAAAACAGTTTCAGTCAGTGTGCCAGATGCCTAAGAGCACGGCTGAAATGGTATTCTTTTGTTGCCAAAGAAAGGCACAATGAAATCAAGTGGTTCCCTAGTACTGTCGGACACAGGGAATGTTCCTTCAAACTACAACCAACATGGAATTACAATAAGGAAAGAAACAACAATGCAGGTATTTTCTTTCTACTCTGATTTTTCAAAATGAATGGAAAGATTAAAGAGTTATAAAAAGTAGCTATTCTGGAAATCTGAACACAATTTTTAATTGCAAATAATTTTATACATAGGTGTGTATGAAATATATATATAGTTTTTTGTGATCTTTTAAAATACTCTTTGTAGCATTGGAGATGTGATCCCTTACGAGTCAAAAAGTGAACATACATCTCTACATTGAATTGTGATTTTAATTATTTTAACTCTAAAACCTAATTCAGAATGAGATGACTACACGGCTTTTGATAATCTGAAATAAGTACAGGATTAGATTTATTACATGAAAACCTAAATGACACTTTAAATTCTCAAATACTTTTCACGGGATCATGAAAATTATTACTGACAAGAATAAATTTATGTCATTGAATGATAATAATAATACTATGCAAAGATTCAAAGTTAAGCCAAGTTGACATAGCTTCTGTGTTCTGACAACTGAGATTTTGTATTTTTAATGCAATATGATACTTCTTTCCACAGATATTAATAAAATCATCATCATCATCATCAATTAACCATACTTTTAGTGAACCCCCTTCTATTGAAGTTAATGACTTTCATGCCTTTGGGTGTAAGATGTGAATTACTTTTGTCTTAGGTAACATTAATCTTGTCTAATATTTGATTATTTCTCTTATTTAAAACAAAAGTCAATACCATTTGGGAAACTGACAGCTCTGGTTTTATCAAGAAAGTGGAATCTATGCCTCATCATTTGACAATTTTAGGTCTCACAAAAAAAACAAGCAAAAATATAAGAATTGCTTCAGACTAAATAAAAAGTGGGGAACAGAGCCCCATTTTCCATCTCTTTCTTACTGGAACTCTTGCTTTGCTAAGTAATGCAACACAAATATCTTCTAACTGAAAAAAAAAATCAAATTAGACAAAAACCTGGAGATATTTAGAACAGAACCCTTCATTCATTGTTCTTTCAAAAATTACATCAGTAGAAATGGTTGCTGATAATGTAAGGCACTGAATATCTAAACTCTAATTACCTTTTTTAGGTCAGGCCATTCCTTGGGTAGAATGTGGCTATGAATATCAATTTTCATTTCTGAAGTATCAAAGGAGAAATACTCTTTCAATGAACACGTTTTCTGTGTAATTGTTACTATCCTTCCTGTCTCTGGTTTAGCAGGTTATTAACTTTGGCTGCTGTTTGAATCCACCTGCTGTCTTATCGGGAGAGCTGGGTACAGTGGCCAACCAGGGAGCCTAAATCCCAGAGGAGTGGTTCTCTAAAGAATAAAGGCTTCTAGCAGAAAGTCCCTGTTAATGCGTAAACTACAGCTGACTGAGGGCAAAGGGAAAGTGTATGTTTATATTGGCGCTGTGAAGGGATTTATTTTACACAGACTCTAAAATGCAAGCTTGTTCACAGTTGAAAATCATTCCATAAAATTGAATTAGAATAAAGTTATTAAACATGCTGATTTGAATTTCCTCCTTTCTCCCTCTTAGATTCTGAAATAAATTGTAGAGAGCCTACAATATACCCTTGGTACATTGTCATACCTCCTCATCTACTCTCTTTGCCTTTTTTGCATTTTCTTTAAAGTTACATAAAAAAAAAAATTCACATAAATTGAATTGTAGCCAAATCTATGCTCTGTGCTTTATTTCTGTCTTCTGATTATTGGTTCACTTAGGATATTTACACATGCTCTTGCATCCTGGTGCTTACAGCCTCTCAAGCTGGCTCAAGAGAATAGCTCAGATTACCTTAGTAATTAATGGTAGTGGAGTGTACTAGCTAATATGGCAAACAGTTTCTGCATCCAAAATTAATCCTAACTGGAGCTAGCCCAGATTTTCTGTGAAACTACATCTCATGTTTTGCCCTTTACTCAATTTAATATTACACTTCTTTCCTTTGCCTTTTATTTGTGCTATTTTTTTCTCTGTAATTTATTTCCTCTATAGTTTTATTTCAATGTATGCTACTCACATGGTGTCTTCTTATGAAGGCTGGTTAACCATTTCTTGATTAATTTTAATCTTGCAACTTGAAATCAAGCAACTTGAAAAACAAGTGGCCCATTTTGTTTCATCCTTTTTCTGACTTCATTATTTTGTTTGGACTTGTCAAAAAAAAAAAAAAATTGGACTCTCTTGTATTTCGCTGCTTGTTCACTCATTAAGCAAGTCTTCTTTTGATTTGGTCAGCTGACCTTCTTAGAGTTATTGTTCAAGTCAACTCCTTGTGACAGTGTTGGTTGATTGCCTGACGGTGTGCTTCTCTGCCACGCGAGATCACTGAAGACTGAATGTTCAAAAGAAACAGGAAGCAGCAGCTTTGGGAGAGTATTCCCTAGATAAAGCAGGACAGCCAGTAATTCACTTTAACTGATCAAAACCTGATTTGCAACTGGGATTCAAAATAGCAATTATTTCCATCTCAAAATCAGAACCAGTCTCTTCATGACCAGGGTGCCAGGTTAAGCAGCAAATTTGCTCTCTTACTCCCAAATGTGATGGCTAGGTTACATGATCTAGCACTGTAGTGCTAGCCAGCTGGCAGCCAATGTTCCTGCATATACAACAGCAGAGATAAGAAAGAAGTATTATTTCAGCTGTGGGAACGCCACGAATCCTATGAATCCATACACACGAGGCAAAGAGTTAAGGCGAGTCCTTCAACAAAAAGATGTCTGGAAGACAACTCCCTATTTAAGCATAGAAAGTAGAGGTACTAGTGAAGGAGAGGGGTAGGAAGAGATTTGTGTATCTGAATAGTCTGGGACACCTAGTTTCTTCTCTTAAGTCACTATAGCTGCAGGCTACCATGCAGAGATCATCAGCATTTCTTCAACACTGTGCTTTACTTTTCTCAGCTCCAAAAAAAGATGTAGCTGTTAGTTGCTGCTCCCAAGACATAGCTTAGCTTGCAAACAGTGCAGTACTCCCACACTGCACTTCATTTAACAAAATAAGTCATTTGGAAACCATACCAAAGGCAAAATTTATATCCATTTCACTTGATCAAAGGGACAGTAAGACATCTGTCTATACGTGATATGACCCATTGGATCAGCAGCAGAAAGACTATCAGTGGCTACAAACAAAAGCATCTTCAGTTAGCCAGGCACCCTACCTGTTTCGAGTGCATGGGTTTGTGTCCTGGTTTTGGCTAGAATAAAATTAATTTTCTTCCTAGTAGCTGCTATAGTGTTGTGTTTTGGATTTAGGATGAGAATAATGTTGATAACACACTGATGTTATAGTTGTTGCTAAGCACTATATCTACTAAGTCAAGGACTCTTAGGCTTCTCATACCACCCTACCAGCAGAGGCTGGGAGTGCACAAGAAACTGGGAGGGGACACAGCAAGGACAGCAGATCCAAACTAGCCAAAGGGGTATTCCATACCATATGATGTCATGTCCTGCATATAAACTGGGGGGAGTTGGCCAAGGCCACTATGATTTGGGAGCTACCTGGGCATTGGTCAGTGGGTGCTAAGCAACTGGGCTGTGCATCACTTGTTTTGTGTATCCTATTATCATCATCATAATAATTATTATTATTTCCTTCCTTTTATGCCCTACTAAACTGTTATTATCTCAACCCATGAATTTTACCTTTTCTTTCTTTGATTCTCTTCCCTGTCCCACTGGGGAGGGGAGAAGAGGAGTGAGTGGATGTGTGGTGCTTAGTTGCCGGCTGGGTTTAAACCACAACAGCTTGAAAAACAGGACACCTTCACTGACGTTTGGACAATCTGCCTGATAACAGTGAGCGACTTACGCCTCTCAGGCTGGGGCTGACTTCAGATACGTGGACACAAGTCTAGCAGAACTACGGGGTTTTATTTCACTATAGGGACAAGCACTAAAGTGAAAATTTTGTTAGAAGTAGGGCATTAAAAGCTCTTTTCCAAAGCTATTTAGCTGCTTTTCCGAAACAATTACAGAATATGAGATTTGGAGTCTTTAGTCTGCAAAGTGGGGATCCAGTTCTGGCCTTTGTTTATCAGGGAGGAATTATTTCCTGGTGTCAGTGGGAAAACCATGACAGAGCACTCTTCAAAAGAAGGTGCATCAACAAACCTTGGCAAACTCTGCAGACAGCTCTGCCACATACACGCTATCAAAGCAGCCCGTTTTCAAGCAGCATGGACACAGAAAAAAAGAAGCAAATTCAGGACACCGATGTTAGAAAGGGCCAAAATAATTGTGTGAGTTTTTAAAACCTTCACTTTTGCATGTTCTTTGGCACCTGCTCTTTAAATTGCACATTTGTTTGTGAAAATCGGCTATTTTACACATGTGCACAGCTCTGGAAAAACAACTGGAAAACTCTTTGTGCTCAGCAGCTAAGATGAAGTACTTAAAGAATACGTCCCTTTCTAAATGAAATAAATGTTGAGCAGTGCACTTATATGGGTTGCTTAGCAACAGGTTGTCCTTTGCCTGTGCTGGGGACTGCACCGGTCCTTGGGGACTGCCATTACAGACCTGCTTGGAAATGACACATTTGGAAAGGATGCAAGAGTCAGTAATTCTGGGGTGGTATCAAATAATTAAACCTTGCCTATTAAATTAGCCTAATCACAGAACTTAATCTTCTTCTGGGACTTCAGAGAACACAGACCTGAGTGGAAGTGGCATGGTTTCTATTCTACGGGGAATAATAACCACAGTTATGGTTTCCCTTCTAACGAGGAATAACGTTATGCAGTTCCCATGCAGCACCTTCCATACGTAGATCTCAAGTGCTTTGCAATGAATGTTATTTTCCATAGGAAGACACTGGGATACATCTTTGTTAAGGACTTTACTGGTGTAACTGTAGCTGGACGTACCCCAGACATATCCCAGTGAATGGGTGGCATTATGATTCCCCGTTCTTAAATGCCAGTGTGCCTGTCTAAACTCCTGATGGCTTGCACAGCTAGCTGGATTGTGATGTGTGCTTGTCATTTAGACATATTTGCAGAATGCAATAGAAGAGGTACAGAGGTCTCCAACCTAGAGCCAACTAAATCAGCTCAAGATGGCAGGAAGGCAGGTGTATTCATCATTAAATACATTATTTTCCAACATTGGAAGGCAAGTAGATTTTTCATTTTCTTATTCAAAAGCCTTTGCAGAAACAAACAGAGCCTCTGTTTAGACAAACATCAGAGCTGCTGCTGCTCCGAATCTGAGTCAGTTTAGCCTTGTAGAGTTGGGCTTTTTAGCTGAGATGTGATGCTGTACTGATGCCCCTCTGATGCTTCCAAGATCTAAGCTATTAAATTTGCGTGGTGAAGCTTCATGGTTGTACAAGCTCAGGATGATGCTCACCAGGTGGTCCCTCTATTAGACCTGCCAGAGCCACCACAGTTGTGTCACTACCATTTATAGTGCAAAGGTGGCCAAGATTGCTGATGCCTCTGGCAGCACACTGCACTGCTTTGGGACTGCTAGCCTAGCAAGAGTTCTGATTAATCACACAGTGGTGAAAGCAAACAATGTGCCCTGTGCCAAATTCCTGGCCATTACCATGTTCTCTGCTGTGTCAGTTAAGCCATAATAAATCCTCATTTATTTTCAGTTTTCTACAAAATATGACACTGTTTAAACTCAACTAGTATTCCAAATCAAAAGAAAAATATATAGCTATCTTTCAAATATAATTATTTTCTTAATACATGACAATTGCAATTCTGCAATTTACAATTATCACACATTTATCTTGCATAGAAATGTTCTATCCAAATTTATAATTAAATAGATATTTTTCCAAAATGTGAGTACAAGCAAAATAGAATTTTAATTTATTTTCCCATTTGTAGGCACAAAAAAATTTAAAAATACTCTATTTCAGCACATATCAAGCCAAGTGTCACTCTTGTGCAGTGGGAGCAATCAGACAGATACCAGTATCATAAATGTGGGCCAGAAAGAACAGATGGAATGAAGCTTACATATACTGATATTAAGAAGTCATCATTTTCAAGTTAATACCCCATGGTAACATCTGAGATTGTTGCAATTATTTAGAAGGTTGGTGTCTAACATAAATAAATAGTTAACTATTGCCAAATGTTGTCTTAACAACTTTTTTT